CAGAGACCCAGGAAGGCACCTCCATGCTTAACTGGGCTCCCATATAAATACCTGTGGCCTGGACTCACCACACAACATCAAAATGGGAAGAAATAGGGTTTTCTCTAATCCTCCCGCTCCACCCCAAAACATAATTGCTGCCAGCACTCAGATCCCTCCAACCCTACCCAACCCAGTGCCAACGCGGGAAAATCAGCCTTAACTGTGTAATCTTCATCACCATCACAATGCCAATGGCCCCTTGGGTTGGAGCCCGTACCAGCTCAATGCTCAACTTATGATTATTTTGGTTTTCCATAAGGTGCCTTTGGAAAATATCAGATTTGTGTGTCAAGCAAACATCCAAAGACTTGAGGCCACAGTGATGGAATCACAGGTAACTCAGCAACTGCAGCAGCTTTGCTTCTCACCATGGCCACAGGCAAGAGAACCAAGTCCTGCTAATAATTTAAGAGCATCAATTAATACAGTTTTATAGATACATAAGAGGATCTAGTCACTTTTTTTCCATCCACTTTTTATCATCAATGAAAGTTAAGGGTGATTGTCCCGTGAGTAACTAAGGCAAATTTGTGTGTGTGTGTGTGTGTGTGTGTGTTTCTCTCTACTTTTTTGTTTTGATTTTTCCATTGTTTTGTACATAAAGCAATCACATAAAAATAGTTATAAATAGAAAAATTTCAAAGGTTTATCCCCGCTTAGACAAATAGGAAAAAAAACAAAAACAACCAACCAACCCAACAGACAAACCAAGACAGAAAAAACACCTTGCTTCAAGTCCTTGCAGATTATACAGTACTCAGCATCTTTGGATATTTTACAATTACTCCAAATCGTAGACAAAAAAACACCTGAAGGAGCCAATTATCTGCAAAATGTTGCTTGTGTAAGAAGTTGATATGGATTAAAAAGAGAAAGTTTGATGCAGTTTTCTGAAGATATTTTTTCTTCTTCTTTTTCTCTCCATTGACTTTTGTTGCACGTGGGGTCTTTGTGGATTTATTTTTTGAGGAGGAAGTAAGTGTTGGACAGTTCCTTGGGATCATTCTGCAACGCATGGTCTTGGAGCAGAAGTCCTTCATACCCTCCTGGGAGCTGCGTAACCTGGGACCCCTATATCCCTCTCCATGCTCCAGTGGGGAGACTTTCATCCAGCCACCATTTCATTGATGGGCAAAACCAAAGAATTCATGAACCTGCTGTCCTCTCATTCCCTTCGATTTTGCTGACATTGAAAGGTAACAGTAGAAAGAGAAACAAAAAGCCGTAATTTGTAACATTTACATTTTCAAGTGCTGGTTTCATGTAAAACCAGCTTCCTGGGACACCCTCTGTAAGCCATCTCAGTCAACGGTGAAACTGGAGTTCCACCAGGCCTCATCTGCCTCCCAAAAACCCTTATCCTTGAGAGCAGCTCATGGTTTTGACGCTGAAAGAGACTGACAGGGTGATTCTAGCCAATCTGCCACATTTTTGACCTCAAAAGAATTCTTAGATGGGGTGGCCAAGACAGGATCTGCAGGGATGACGGGGAGAGACCCTAAATCTGTTGGTCACTATGGGAAACCTTCAGCTTGGAGCACCCCATCATATGTTACTACAAAAAACAGTGAAGAAATAGCCTGCAAGCAGAAATCCTTGCAAGCAGCAAGGATATTTGCACATCAAATTTTCCCCATCAACACTGCAGATTTGGCGACACGTTAATTTTTCTCACCAAAATATATATAGGAATTTGACGGAATTAAGGACACAACCCTGGACATTTCAGAATGGTGAGAGGCAGCAAATTCTGATTCTTTGGTTTGAAAAAACTTTTTATTTTCAAAATTCCCACATGGTTCATTTTCACAAAGCAAGGGTTTAATAAAAGCTCAGTATCGAAACATTTTGGATTAGTCCAAAAATTTTCATTCACTGTTTCAAGCAACTGAAGTTAAAATACTTAAAATAGGCTTTGGTTCTTCTTTTGAAATCTTGAAATAGCTAAAGAACCAAAATAAGTAAAATCCCCCTTTTCCACCTAGATTTGCACCTGGGTGATTTTTAATCTCCATGGTTTGGAGTCTTTGTGTGTGTTTTTTTTTTGTGGTTTTTGTTTGTTTTTTTCTTTTGTTTCATTTTCTTTTGTTTATTGGTTTTTTTCAAACCTTTTTAAGGTCCCAACTCATGCTGCAGATCAGGACTTTAACCAGCCCTGTAAATCTGATACACTGCTAAGAAAGGCAACAGCCAGGATCATCCCTCTCCCAGTGTGGCTGCTTGACTCTCCCCTTTATCCCTTCTTAGAATAAATTTTGTTGCCATACATTGGAATTAAAAAAAACAAAACAGAACACAACAAAACAAAAGAGAAAAGTCCTTTTGACCGAAAAGGCCAAGGAATGTAACATATCAAAAGCAAGTCTGGATGGCTTGTCAGTTTCCAGTGGACTCCGCAGGTGGAAAATGAGGAGTATCTCCCCCGGAAGAGCCATCTCATGGCGATGGCCATGCCCTGGACTAAGGCAAGTAACATTTTCGGGAGTGTTGAAGAGTGGAGCAGTCCTTGGCTGGATTTCCCAGACAGAGCCATGACTGGTGGGTGGCTGGATGGGACAGTGAGTGCCCCATGGCCCCATAGCCAAGTGCATCACAGAGTCTAAAGTGCCGGTGGCCATGGGGTGCAGCACCTGCCCACCCAGCCACTTGCCCCAGATATGGCCCTGTGCCCCAATCCCCACAGCAGGCAATGGTGGTGAAGGGAAAAGATCTTCTCAGGAGCCAGATGATGCCAAAGGGAAGGTGGGAACCCAAAGGGAGCTGGTTGCCTTGTTGGAAAGGGAGTAGATCCATGGTGAGCTGGTTGCCTTGTTGGAAAGGGAACAGATTCATGGTGGGACCAGACGTGGGCTTAGTTGCCTGTTTCTGAGATGGAAGCCATGTGGCCAAGCCCTGCCAAGCCACTGAAGCCTGTGCTCCAAGGGTCAGGGACAGGAAAGAAGGGCTGGGCAGCAAGATTTTCATTATGGCCCAGGGCAAAGGCAAAGATGCCTGCATTCCTCTCCATGTCCATCTGGGCTCGCCTGAATAGCTTCATCTGCGTTTCATCAAATTGATTCTCCAACTCCTGGAGGCTGAAGGAGGTCTTGGCCCCGCTGAAAAAGTGCTTGGGGCTGGGGCCGGGAAGGCACATGGCCGTACCACCGAGGTGGCCACTCATCTCCTCCAATGTCGGCGGCATCACAAAGCTATTCTCCACTGGCTGGCCATTGGGAGGAGCAAAGAGCAAGCTGGCAGCCCTCCACGCTGCCGGCTTGCGTCCTCGTCGGGGCCGTGCGATTCGGCAGCTCTGGCGTTTGATGTGGCGATGGAGGTGGTCAGAGCGGGTGAAGCTTTTGTAGCAGAACTCGCACTGATAGGGCCGGATGCCCGTGTGGATGCGCATGTGGTTCTTCAGGTCGTAGTTGTGAATAAATTTGGCATTGCAGTGGATGCACAGGTATGGACGTTCCCCCGTGTGCTTCCGCATGTGGATTTTCAGCTTGTCCTGCCTGCAAAAGAAAAGGCTCTTGGTCAGGTGGCATGGGCTGGAAGGATGTGGTTGGGACTGCTCCTTGGACCAGGAGAGGGAAAAGTGATGGGAAGGTGTGGAGCTCATCCTGGGACTTCCCCTAATGTATGGATGCTCTTGCAGGTTGGTGTTTGCATCCACCTCCTCTTTGCACCTAAACATCACATACACAGAGCCCTTCATATCAGAAGTTTGCAGCCCATGCCAGAGAGTTCAAAACATCTTAAATTAAAGGAAAAAAAACCCTCTGGAATAAACCCAAAACCACAGAATCTTAGAATCATTAAGGCTGGAGCAGATCTAAGATCACTGAGTCCAACCATTCCCTCATCACTGCCAAGAACACCACCAAACCATGCTCCCAAGTGCATGGTTTTTAAATCCCTCCAGGGATGGGGAGGCCACCACTGCCCTGGGCAGCCTGTTCCAAGGCTTGGACAACTCTTTCCATGAAGAAATTCCCTGAATATCCAATCTAAACCTCCCCTGGTACAAATTGAGGACATTGTCTCTCATTCTGTCACTTGTTACCTGGGAGAAGAGACTGTCCCCCACTGGCTACACCTTTTGGTCAGGTAGTTGTAGAAAGCAAATATCAGAACACGGGAATATATCTATATAAAACTAAATATGGGAATATTAAATAAGGACAGCTATATTCCTTCCTGCAAATAAGGAAATTAGCTGGGATTTAAGGGCCTGGCAATGTGTGGCAATAGTGATTAAATTAAGTCCCTCTTGGAGCTGATTTTCCTTTCCTTTTATCCTTGCACTGACCACACGGTGTCTCAGGAGCTTTCATTTGGAGCGGGAGGACCGTAGAGGTGATGCTGACAGAGGTGCTGGCAGTGCCCAGGCACTCTGTCCTTTCTGCCATGGTTTTCAAGGCCAGCATGCATTCAGCTTCACTCATAGTTTGGAGAAGGTTTGTAAATCCAGCCATGGGACAGCATAATATCCATCCCAATGGCACTTATTTACACGTAGAGATATATATTTAAGTAGAATATCTAAAAGCAAGAATATTTTCCCATGCTGGCAGTCCAATCACTATTTTTGCCCCAGTAAATGTTTCCTTCTGCAGTCAAAAAGAATTCACAACTAAGGCATACGATTATAAAAAGTGAAAGTGATAGTATATGAACTGAGCTAAGCACTGCTGCTCAGGTAGCACCAGTGGAGTTCAAGTAAAGAGGAAAGTGGGAAAATTCATATTGTTTTCCAAAATGCTTCCAGTATGAACCCTCCAAGGCACTAATAATGGGGCTAAGAATAT